TCGACTTCAACGATGAATTCCTTAATCTAGGGAGATTTAGGGACATCTTAGAACACGTTTCAGCAGAGCCCTTGGGCCCAGCAGGTCCAGTAACTCTGGAAAACAGATCACTGGTTGATAGCTTACCAGCTGGGACTCTTTGATCAAGAAGGATGTTCGGATCCGAAGTACTTGTACTATCAACACTGGCTACTCCAGCACAATCAATCAATGTTTTAAAGATGACTGAAACCCAGTTTTAGGCATTCTTAGTGGCAATACGAAATATGATAGCAGGATGAGAGAATGTCTAACAGCTAAAAGCAAAGAAACCAGATACATACGAAGAAGCTGAAGACAAATTATGACTATTCCTAGCACAATTCAAAACATACTTCGCAGTCAAGAGATATGGAGAACATTATGAGGAGATTAAAATTTCCTATGTAGAATCACTATTGAGGGGACTTGTAGGGCAATGGATCATGCTCTTTCAAGAGGGAAGGAAACAAAGAGAGTTGGTCACTTATACAGAATTTAAGGCAGCACTATACAATCAGTTTGGCGACCCCTCTGCCAAGGAAATGGCGAGACAAAAGTTGCAGAAACTCCAACAAGGGAAACAGCCATTCTTCACGTACTGGAATGAATGTTGATTATTGGAATATGAGGAAGAATTCGATAACACAACTCTCTATATTATCCTGTTAAGAAACTGTGGTGAATGGCTACATTTAGCTTGGGGAAATTCTGATCAACCATTCACAATGTTGGAGCGGTTCGCAAGATAGGCTATTGAGAAAGAAAGCTGATTGGCAATGGTGTAAAACAATTCAGAAAGCATGATAGCATGTGAGATGGTTGGGTCATCTAGGAACTCAGATGGAATATTCTGACCACTGATGACAAGAAATGAGACCAGAACATTGACACCTGGCAAACTAATGGAATTGGATAAAGTAAGAGTAGGACGAGTCCTGAACCTGTCCAAAGAAGAATATTCACAAAGAAGGAACGGAAACCTCTGCTTGAGGTACGGGAAAGCAGGACATTGGATATGAGAATGCAGGGGCTGGCCAGATAACAGATACTAGTGAATGGAAGTTGCTGGAAACAATCGCTACTAATTGCAGAAAATGTGTATTATTCGCGAGATAATAGCTAAAAACATACTGGTGGAAAAAGACGAGAGTTCCCAGGAAAAATGGTAGTCTAAGAAATCCAAAATACGGACTTGAAAAATTTATCAAATTAGTGAACTACTATATGGCACTATATACTGAATGTAAGGAAGAAGACAGAGGTTATAAAATGATTAAGAGGAAGATATACAATGAAAGGCACACAAGAATAAATATAAATATTCAAGACTC